TTTAGGAAATTTACAGTGGATGTGTGACTGCTAGCTTAGTCCTGATGGAGTCTCACAGATTGATGGCACTGTGGGTAAAGCGATGGTATTTCATTCAGAAAAATTGGCGATAAAATATGTTTCTGATAGTATTTGGAGTTAACCTTGATATTTTTTTGTACTCTATTTATTTTTAACTTGCCATTATAAGAAAAACCAGCAACAATCATGAATCCCTTAAAAAAACTTTCTTTCGATTCTTTGAACCATGTACTTAAATTTTTTTCTCCTTTTTTATGATAATAAATGGCTCTTTTTTTGTTACAATTATTTAAATACACCCATGCTTCATCTATTGTGACAATTGTTTTCCATTTTTCTTTGGATAAGTGTTTCTCATATAGAAATTCTGCACCTTGTCCTACGTTGAGCGATATGCTTTGGAAGAAGACGATGCACATTGCGTTTTTTCGCTTTCTTAAGATTTAAATCAACGTTTATCATTTTGTTTACAGTCGACACCGAGCGTTTTAATGATTTTGCAACTGTTCTTTGACTAGAGGGATTTTCGTTTAACATTAAACAACGTACCTTTGCAATAGTCGAAGATGTCCGTTTTTTTTTATATACTTGTTTGGAATTTTTGTCCCACTTGAGGCTCCAATTTGACGTTTTTTCCTTTCTTGTTGATGATATTACCTATCGACGCTTTAGATATCACAAAACCATGACTCTCACATCGTTTTTGGATAACGGAGTATGCATATTTCTCTTCGGAAAGAGCGTAAATGTAGCCTTCGAAGCCCTGCTTTGTTAAATTCGACATTTTGAATAAAAACAAAACTTTCAAGCCACAGACGATAATTTTGACTTTTAAAAACATAGTACAATTGCAATTACTTCTTTTGCAGCAAACGATTTTTTATTACCGCTTACCAAAATCGTCTAAAAATGTGCGAACAGCCTCTGTAGTGCCATGTCCATTGGTCGCAGTATGCATCTCATACACTTGACGTACAAGTTCAATCCCTGGGTGCCGCATGAGATGATTTAAGCAAATAAGGATGGACGTGTTTGAACCTGCACTAATAATCTTTAATATCAATGCGAGGATAAAATTCTGGACCGGATACAAAAAATGACATATTTATTTCTGTCTATCATTCTACCTGTTAAACTTAATTCCTTCAAAAATTTCAGTACTGTTCTGTTATTAGGACCATATTCAGAAATGTATATATGGATGTATGTGTTCATGTATGCATATATATATATATATATATATATATATATATATGTACACATGAATGTATGTGTGTATACATATACATTTCTGAATCCAGTCCCTGGTAACAGAACAGTACTAAAATTTCTTTATAAAACACAGCTGTTACTAATAATTGCAGATTGTAAATGATGTTTGACTAATATCATTATATTAAAAAAGTATTTTTATTTCATGTAATAATCAACAGATGATAAAATAACACTCAAGAAAAACTATAATAAAGCAAAACTGAGCATAGGTGAACTTGCTATACACAGGAGGTACCAGTCATAGATGCCTTATTTTCGCAAAAGGGAATCTGAAAATATCCTAAAAGCCCTTATTTTCTGAAAGCTATCCAAATGTACTACGTAGACAATCATAAAAACAAGTGCCATTGGGACTTCATGAAATATGGTTGAAGATGTAGCACTTACCTTTGCAAGGGATTTCACATTCAAAGCACTCTTTATATCCTTCACAAAAATTCTCCTAAGCTATGCATTACCTTACGGTTCAGATGCAATCCGTCTTTGTCAGACAAATACTCCAATAGAGTCACCACATCTGCAAAATAAAAAAGCTTCTCGGCCTTTGAATGCTTTGAAAAGATTAGTGTTTATCCGAACTAATTTTCTGTTAAGCTTCTTTAAACTGTACGGGTTGAAGCCATTCTTGAATAAATTTCGTTCCCGCGAAAGGATACCTGAAAAGAGAATGATCTTCGGATTTAAGCGCTTATAGAACAAGCAAGAACAATAGCAAGAACCTTATACAGACAATCATATTTATGATGAATATCATCTAAGGCGTCACATGAACCAAAACTAACTCAAATTGATTGTTTATCAAGGTTATTTTGCATGTCAACCTTTCAATCGTAACACCCGAGAAACAATGAAAATGAACTTCGCAATCCAGTAAATTCAGCAATAAATATTCTTTTCAATATTTTATCATCGAATCTCCGATTATAAGTATCTTCATTTTTACTGTTTGCTTAGACAAAGATATAATAAAAATAATACAAATAACAAACTCATATTAAACAATTAGCACGAGCAATCATGACACTCACCTACGAAAATGGTGGAATACTGTTTGTATTTTCACATTTACGTATTTGGTGCCAGTGTTCAGTTTGGCGTGAAAATAACAACTTCCAACCAATCACGGCAAAGTACACTTTCCCGTTTGCTGTACATAATTGTGCAAACTCCGTTTTTATGTTTTTAGAATAAAGAAAAATGCACCATGATTTTGCATTAATACAGATTGCCTGTTTTATAGTGAGCTAATTAATGTGGATTGCCTGTTTTATAGTGAATTAATTGGGTGGATTGCCCGTATTACTTAATTATAAGTTTCTCTTTACGTTTCTTTTAATGGAGTACCGACTGAATGAACTAAATTCAGGTAGAGTCTCGTAACAAGTATCATGAAGATAATAATAACATGTAAGAGTTACCAAAATTATACTAACCAAATGAATTAACAGTTAATTAATGGATGAAATATTAATTAAAGATGAAATGTCAAATTTCATAACTAATTAAAAATAAACAAAGTTTCCGAAGTTTCAAGACATCTACCACAACACAAGCTTGTTTGTTTACATTAGCAGTTCTTACATCACGTGACCTGCGACGTCACCGTAGTGTATCTCATTCACTTAATACAGAAAAGTAAGGTTAAAGTAAAGTTTGAAAGCAGAACATTTTCTCGATCTATTAATATATTCTTAAAACTTAAGCCTGGAAGCAGAAAATTTAAACAGTCTAGTGTTAGAAATCTCATCTCAAAAAGATAACTATCAGTATGTATGTAAAATAATGAACCTATTAATATGTATATAAAATAATAAAAACGCAGTACGGCCGGAAGCTGAGATGGTATCAAAGATAGGAAGCATCAGTATCACGATTTACTCTTGAAGATCGTCATATAGGTTTAGGGCTTAATTTCTTAGATGAGAAGTGCTGGAGCCCTATGGAAGACCATCAGCAAAGAGAAACAAGAGTAAATAAATAAGTAAAATGACTGTTAAACGCATTAACAATTTAAAAATTAAATAGTTTATTATTATCAAATTAATTAATAACTATTAATTAATGTTTATAAATTAATTAATTATTTTATTTAATTAATAATTATATAATTAATTAATTTATAATTTAATTGATAATTATTAGGTAATTAATTATTATTTATTGAAATAATTAAAGATTGAAGGGATAAGGTTCGGAGAACAGCCTTGGTTGCGCCAACTTGGCTCCTTTAAGGATATGGGCGACATTTCATTATGCCAACGGAAGTAAATATCATGTGGGGAATAGGTGTTAAGGAGAAAAGGAAAATACATGGGGAAAAACGGGATTAAGATGTGTTTATATTTGTTTGGTATCTGATTGCTAATTTTGTTCTGTAATGTTGCTCCCCGTTTTGGCGTTAAGGCTGTTCTCCGAACCTTATCCGATTGAAGTAATTAAATAATTAAAATTAAACAAAATTTAAAGAGATAAATTGAAATTTAATACGCGATTTTTAATATAATTTTATTGTTAAAATAAAATTTTCGAGATAAAATTTCTTCTGAAATTGTTATTCAGTTACATAAAAGAAGTGCCGCAGCCTTCTTATTCAGGGCTCCAGTGCGTTCCGGCTGGAATTATGATTTATTACAAAAATTAAGGAGCACCGGAGCCGAAATCAGGTGGGCACCGGCCCAATTTAAGCTCTGATCGTAGAGGGGGGGGAGTTCTTTTATTATCACAAAAATTAAATATACTTGAAGTATAGCTGATGAAAATTCCGGGGCGAAACAGAATGAGGGTATGAGTGGGTAAAAACAAAAATTGAGGGGAATCTTGGTGAGAAAGAACGTTCTCTTTGACCGCGGCTCTCTGCTGATATAATTATAGCCATCAAGCAGATGTATGTCAGTGGTAAAATGAGTCCTGAATTTGGCTCCTAAGGATGAATGTAAAGTTGCTGGTTACGCTTTCACCCCCCCCCCCCCCATTAGTGGGTACTGTGGGAAGAGGATGTATAGGACGTGTTTGAGCAGTTTATCTCAGTATTCCACTCTTATTGTACTCGCTGTCACATAACGCACATTTACAATGTCGTAGCTAGGGTTTTCAGCGCCCAGGGACAACTAAAGATTTAGCGCCCCCTACTGCTTGCCAAGGATAGAAAACATTTAATTCTAAAATGTCGTAACATCAGTTTGGAGCCCCTTGGATTCTGGGCCAGGGGACAGATGCCCCCTCTTGCCCCCCTCTAGCTACGCCGCTGCACATTTAAGAACACAAATTTTCTTTCCTGCGAGAATAATTAACTGTAAGCATAGATAACAATACACTAGATACGATCAGGGCTAAAGAAAGAGATACGATGGCATGGCGAGAAATTTACGCGTTCCTAAACAAACTCCCCCAAATTTATTGCTTTTCTTAGAAAGAAAGGTTTCCGCATGTGAGTGAGGGGAGTTTACTTGAACGTCTCATGTTCTCATAAGTTCGCATTTCTAGGGAAATAGAGCATTGCAAGGCCTGCTTATTGTTAAACTAAAACGTTAGAATTCTAAATTTTTTTTTGTGTCTAAATTGTGGTTCAGTTTTTTATAAAAAAAAGTACCGGAGCTCATCTTGTTTAGGGCTCCGGCTAAAACTGTAATTTGTCTTAAAAATTGATAAGCACCGTAGCCGAGCTCCGGCCAACACCGACTCTACTAGACGAGTCGGTGTTGGCTCCGGCGCAATTTAAGCTCTGTATAGGTTGAAGCTTCCGAAAGCAGAACTTTCGCTTTCTTCGCATCTGATGGGAGCATCTGACCAGCTGCTTATGAATTTGCCAAAGAGCTGAACAGTTACAACTCTACTCCAAGCATAGTAATATATTTATGTTTCCTAGATTTTAAATTCGACTGTATATGTACAAATATATCAAAATAAAATAAAAGTTATTTAATCATGTATTTAGAAGGCGCTGAAAACTTCTTTGAATTCCTCCGTGGAAACTTCTTACTGTATTCTATCCTTGTTGTTCCACTGCTTATTGTTATTTCGCCGATGACCCCTGTATTGGCAGCTCATGAGTTCACGGTTTATCGAATGCAACACTTTGATTTACACGGAACCCCTCATGGTATGAAATCATGTTATGTTAAAATTGTCATTAATTCATGTTTAAATATATCTACTGTTTGCATCTGTTTTATATATGTGCATTCGTATATATGTGATTCCATTATTATTTGAAAAGTTTGAATATACAAATCCCTTTCATACCTATGGTCGTAATGTGTAAAAAATTAAACTGTGAATTCATGTTCGATATCTTAATATTATATTAAGTGAAGCGATATCTTAATATTCATGAAATATTACTAAACTAATGTATTCACATGAAAGTATTGCGGATGAAATTAAACATAGATTTATAATTGATAAGTCGTTTTCATTAGTTGATCCTACTTAAATTTATACTTCATAATCTGATAGAATAATAATAGTATACAAGCTGTTGTATATAGTGATTAGGTTGTATATTTTAAAAGTGTTTGTAATTTTATGTATTAAAGCGAGTTTACTAACTAATATTTAAGTGATTGATGAGCAGACATTTCTGGATTGTGTACCTAAACCAGTGTCAAGAACTATTGCTGTATTTCTTGTAAGTGAATGTACTATATAGATATTTGTATAAGTTAACATGTTATATAATATAAGAAACTTCGGTTGATCTTTACATTATGGTAACTTAGCGTTTTTTTGGCGATCAACTCTCCTACAGCAACCCTCTATTTTTTTTTTCCCGCCGCCATTTTGTCTTCACGAAGTAAAGACGTGTTTCTTTTTTTTTATCTACTGAACACTTCTTCCAACAATCTACTACTAGCCGAATTACACTTATGCTAGAAATTTTTATCTAACAAAAACTGCTTAATCATGACAAATATTCACTGCAAAATTGGGAAAAAAGTGCACAATACCATACTCCTTACGTGTTTTTCAAAATAACCACATACACATAAACCATGTACACAAACCCCGACTTATTTTTACTTAAAAAACATCCCAGAATTGCACAAAAATGGCATTGCGCACACTCTTCACTATATCCATGTACACTGCTTTTTCTCATAAATTAGAAAAATTTCACGAAAATACATGACAATTTTCTCAATCTTTAAACCCGGTAAAAAGAACATATATCTGAAATTACCTGATCGCGAAAAAGTATTTACCCTTTTAATATGAACATTTCCTTCCACATATAAATAAATAAAATATCCAAAAACTTTTTTACCTCTAATCATCTATTACATTATACACGTCACCAACAAATTCATACCGCAAGCATTACAAATACTTAGTATCAAATATTTAAATTATTTCCATGCAACGTTTACTACTTCAACTTAAACGTATACCAAATTCCTACAAACATAAAATTCACAAATAACTATCATTTAATTAAAATATCACTAAACCATGTACACGTCGACTTATTTTTACTTAAAAAACCATCCCAGAATTGCACAAAAAATGGCATTGCGCACACTCTTCACTATATCCATGTACACTGCTTTTTTCTCATAAATTAGAAAAATTTCACGAAAATACATGACAATTTTCTCAATCTTTAAACCCGGTAAAAAGAACATATATGAAATTACCTGATCGCGAAAAAGTATTTACCCTTTCCAAATATGAACATTTCCACATATAAAATAAATAAAATATCCAAAAACTTTTACCTCTAAATCATCTATTATATTATAAATGTCACCATACAAATACTTAGTGTCAGATATTTAAATTATTTCCATGCACGTTTACTTCAACTGAAACATACCAAATTCCTACAAACATAAAATTCACAAAATAACTATCATTTAATTAAAATATAATTAAATTCAAAAACACTACTTAAAATATAAATGAGCACATACATTAAATTAATAAAAATTACCTTACAATCCTAATTACTTTAAACTAAATCATTGCTAATAACAATTTTCCCAATAATACCAAATTCCTTTACTTCCACCTTACATTTAGAACAATGCATAAAAATAATATCCTCAAATAATTAAAAATACTAACTTACCTAATCTTCTTCAGAATCTTGATTATGTGTCGGATAAACTTTTCTTTAGTTACGGCCATGGGATCCAAAAATTCACGAACACTGTTTCACCAACACAGAATAAACCAAATACAAAATTTCCAGATTTTTTCCCGATTAACCCCTTTTCCGATTAAAGAACCGTAATTCGTCCATTAATATCACATGAAATATCCCATGATCTCTCATTTCCCTCACACAAAATAATGCGTAATCGGAACTGAGTACTGCTCACATTATTACCAAAGTCCCAGGTAGTAACCTTTATCGCCTCCAAAATGTCGCCAAACTACCAGTTACCATATTGTAAAGATCAACCGAAACTTCTCATGAAGTATTTATTGCCTATTATAGTGTTCTCAAAGTGGAGGCCCAAGTGCCTCATGCCAGTCACGAAGCAATTTTATGCAACATGCGAATACAGAATACATTACAGTTAGGTAATTTGAAGTTCGAGTTTCCACTTTCATCGCCATTTAAAATGAGCATGCATACTGTACCAGAAAATCGGTAAATAGAGCTAATTAATTTACAGTTTGTTGTAAATCTTATTTAAAGATTTGAAGGTACAGATTTCATTAACTTTTATTTGTACATGTCGGGGAAAAAAAAATACAGTTATGAGTTGTTGCACTAAAAACAGTTGCTTTATTAGAAAATTTGTCTGTTTATGAACAGCTTTTTTCACACTTGAAAATTAATAAAAAAGAGAATTCAATTGATCGATGATCATCTACAATACGTAATGAAGATAAATCCTAGTAAATTTTCTCCACAGCTGAAAATTTTATCAGAATCAAAATGCATTGAGGTCTATAGTAAGAAATCAAGAAATTTATAAGTATTTACTTACAAACATATGTATTTTTATATAAAAGTTAATTAATAAGAGAAAGAGATTAGGTTACCATTATATATTCACAAGCTTTATCTCATTTGGAATTTTTCTCTGAAAACTTAGAAAGTTTTCATAATTTGTTTATTTTAAGTTCAATTTGAAAGAAGTTGTAAAATGATTAATTAATATATTAGAATTATTTGAAATAAAAACGTCAGTGTAAAAATGTATTATTTAGCTATCAGTATATGTGAATTACAACGTGTAACCAACAGAAATGTCTTGCAGGTACCAAACTTCATTAATATTTCTGATTGAAAATAAATATAAATTTGAATATTTCCCTTTGTGATATCATTATTATTGTTTATGTATGTTTTGATAAAATTTACTAAATAGGTGAAATTAAAGATTTATTTAACTTTTTTTAAAAAAATTTTTTAATAAAAAATGTTTATTTTGTTAAAAAAGAAAAAAGAAATCTCGGCTGTTGTCTATTTTCAAATCATACATTTGATTCGTATGCCGTTTGAGTGTAAGACTACTGGCTACTTACGTATTAACGCAACCAGGCCAAAATTCGCATAAATCGCCAAATTTGGCGACCTTACTTACGGCAACCCTACGTGTGTGAAAATAGATGAATGTTTATTTGTAAAAAGAAAAAATGAAAAAATAACACTGGGCGTGTACTACACAGCAATGGGTTTTCGGCGGAATTTGCCGAGAAAAGAAAGAGACTTTTTTGGTTACTGTACCTAACAGAAGTGCCGTTACCCTCATGGAAAAAATTTGCGAAAATATCAAGGGAGTAAGCATCATTTATTCGGATTGCTGGAAAGGATACAATACAAGTGAGTTTGAAAATGCTAGATTTCTGCATGGAACTGTTAATCACAAATATAACTTTGTGGATCCCAACATGGGCGTTCACACACAACATGTAGAGCACATGTGGGGGCTCAGCCAAATGGCGCAACAAAAAACAGAGAGGAACAGCCTGTCATCATCTTGACTCATACCTTATCGAATTTATATGGTGCCAAGCTCAAGCTATTAATGGCGAAGACGGTTTTCAATCAGTGCTAAAAGCAATAGCCAAAAGATTTCCGCCGAAAAAATAATTCTGCAACTTATTCAAATTCGAAACTGGAAGGGTTTAATTGCTATTTTATATTTTAAAACAAAATAATATAAAAAACTGTATTAAAAATTATCTGTAATTAATAAATGTACATTTTCTTTCTATTCATACTTTTTTACTTAAACTTACAAATCGCGCCAACCTGGTTGCAATAATACGTAAGTACCGACTATTGATTTAATATATCAGGTGGCTATAATTAAACTGACAGTGCTCACAGTGTTCTGTAGCGTGATCTATTTGCGAGAATGACGCCACATTTTGTAGGAAGATTAAATAAGATGGGGGACGAAGAATTCCACGAAGAAACAAATTAATTCCAAAAGTCACCGCTAGGGGAATATTTGGCACTGTGTAATAGAAAATAGAGTGTTAACAAATGCAAATTAATACGGAATAAAATTACCTTTTATTATGCACATTTTCTGATTTAGTTCAAGTGCAATATGGCAACACTTTTAAAAAAGCATAAAATCTACATAAACACCGATAAAGTCTCGTGATCTGCAATTTAATATCACGTACGCTGAGCAGAAGAGAAGTTTCTTTATTCAAATTTCACGTTACATCCATTTGCACAGTGCTAGCTGCTTGGTTTTTTGAAAGGCAATGTGTTACGTTTCGAATCAATCGGATTGAAAGTTTATGTGCAATGTCTCCTTCTTTAGTCGAGCGTGCGTTACTGGTCAAATCTTTAAATTCTTTTACCTCAACCAGTGCAATGCGTCAGCCGCTCTTCGTGCTTTTAGAAAGCACAAAAAAAAAAAAAAAAAATGCATAAATGGTAATGGTCCTGTGTCAGTTAATGGGCTAAAAGCAATGGTTGCGACGTTTGAGAAAACAGGTTCTCTGAAGGTTCAGTCAGGCAGAGGACGAAAACCTGTCCCACCTCACAGGATACAATCGAAGCAGTTGCCACGGCGATTGTCGACAGAGAACCAGACAATATTGCTGCCACCTCTAGTCGCTCGTGGAGTAGCTCGGAATATGGATATGCCTTACAGTACAGTATGGAAAATCTTACAACGAAAGATTAATCAACTTCTATCCGTACAAGATCAGCCGTGTACAGGAGTTCCTGTACCCCGACCATGATAAGCGATTGACTTTTGCTCTCACCTTTCTTGCCAGAATGGAGGTGGATGATGCTTGGCCGTGGAAAATCTTATGGGGAGACGAGGCCCACTTTTACCTGAATGGAACTGTGAATATCCAGAATTGCCGAATTTGGGATGACAAATCACCACATGCAGTCACAGCATTTCCCTTACATTCACCAAAGGTAACTGTTTGGTGTGGGTTCACAGCAGAATTTATCGTAGGTCCGTTCTTCTATGAGAACGATTACCCCGACAGGACCGGAAACCTGTTCTGTTACCGGAGAGAAATATCAGCACATGTTGAAAAGCTTTGTCATTCCGGCACTTCAGCAAAGACAATGCCTGGGGGAAATCATTTTCATGCAAGATGGAGCCCCTCCACATATTGCTGTACGGGTGCAACAGATGCTACGACAGAAATTCACAGCAGAAAGAGGCATTAGCTGTTACTTTCCAACTGCATGGCCACTTCGGTCTCCTGATCTTACCCCATGCGACTTCTGGCTATGGAGTTACCTTAAGTCCAAGGTCTATCGAGGAGTGGCCCAGGACCTGCCTATGTTGAAGGATAACATATCACGGACTGTACGGGAGATTCCTGCAGACACATTACTTTCTGCTGTTGGGCATACTGTGCACAGAATGCAATATGTGGTCCATAACAACAGCAGCCACATTGAACCTCATTTGAATGCAAAATAAAAGGTAATTTCCGTATTGATTTGCATTTGTTAACACTCAATTTTCTATTACACAGTGCCAAATATTCCCCTAGCGGTGACTTTTTGGAACTAATTTGTTTTTTCAGGGAATCCTTCGTCCCCCATCTTGTTTAATCTTCCTACAAAATGTGGCATCATTCTCGCAAATAGATCGCGCTATAGAACACTGTGAACACTGTCAGTTTAATTATGGCCACCTGGTACTTCCACCTCCTCAGTAAAACAATTTAAATTTTGAACGATGTTTATTAGAGATCACACCTAAACAAAATTATGGTAAAGGTATATTTTAGGATACCCCTTGGCGAAACTTAGCGATTTTGGGTGGTACATGGATACCGAGTTTGTGCAATTCTTTGACTTTATTATTTTGGCTTGCATAATGGCGATTTTTGTGCCAAAAATCAGTGCTACACAAAACCAAAATAACAAGTTAAAGAATTGCACGAACTTGGTATCCATGTACATATTGATCTATTTTCACTAAAAAAAAAAAAAAAAAAAATCCCCAAATTGCACAAAAAGGGCATTGCGCACTCTTGAATTTATCCATGTACACGTCGACTTATTTTCACTTAAAAAAATCCAAGAATTGCACAAACTTGCATTGCGCATTCCCTTTATTCATGTACACATCAATATGTTTTCACTTAAAAAGTCAAAGGAGCACCTAATTCTACAATATAAGCAAACTATAAATACATAATACATAAACTATATTTTAAACCAAATAATAAAATGACATAAAAAAGGAAAAACATGCTATACATTTAATCACTACAAAAAGCAAATATCCACTTACCCTATTTAGAAGTTCCTTTGTCTTTAGTCTGTGGCATACAAAATTCCTTAACAGCATCCAAAACAAAAACTTCCTAAAATTATCTGAACTCGAATCCATATATTGGTGTCGCCACATCTGAACCTTCTTCCTACAAATCCATCTAAATGGTTTTTATGTTCGACTAGATACATATAATTCCTACATACAGGACACTTAGAATGGCTACTAAGTAAACCTTCATTTACACACCAGCCAATTAACACTCAATTTCCCCTTTCGTTCCAAATCGTACGGACATTTCAAATTAATACATTCGGCCATTCTACCATCTAAAGAATAAAACCAACATACACCACAAAAGAAACCGCCACTTACAAAACATCCCATGATTCAAAATTTCCCAGAATCATGCACCTGATTACATCACAATAGTATGGTAGCCTGAGCAGTTGCTCAGGCTACCATAAATGAAACAACGACTTTGCCATAATACAAGGGGTACCTTAAAGTCTACTCTAACCAAAATTATTGTTGACCAGAAAAAAAAATCTATCTTATCCCCCTTCTTAAAAGGAAATTTGAATCCGTAACCAAATGTTTGAGATGCAAAGCCACACAAACTTTTTTGAACATTCCTATGTATTCACATCTAACATTTTTGTACTTTGCACACCTCAGATTAAAGCTTTTCATCATAGCATATATATATAAATGAATTCATTGCATAAGATGTTAAATTAGCATTGCTGTAAATTTTTTTAGTGGGCTTTTTTTTTTTTTTTTTTTAAATTATGTCCTCCATTAGTCATTACACAGAAAAAGAAAGACTTTTAAAGGGAAACTGGCTTTTATCCACATTACACATGGAAGAAAACCATAAAAATGCCGATGCAGACATAAAATTCCCTTTGTCTGGGATTTAAAACCAACAAAGTTTGGTGGGTCTTTGAGTAGGTTTCATTTACAGATTTTGTGTATAGGTTGCAAAAGGTAACTTCGCAAAATATAGATATTGATAGGACTTGAATTTATGGTAGTTGAGTGTACGTAGTGTTTTGTTAAATGATACAGGATAAGTACTATTTTAGACTTGTGTCAAAATATAATGCATCTCTAAAATATATTGTTCGTGCATTGTTTCTTAGATTGCAAAAATCATTATAGGTTAATATTACCATCTTTGCATGTCATGATTTGCAGTTAAATTTTATGTTAAATTGACATAAATTCATTATTCTTGCTTAAACTGTTATTCCTAGGTTGTCGAAGCTCTATTCTTAACATGGAGGCTAAAACTCTGTATACTACTCCTTATACAAGACGCTGTGTAGTAGCTAGATTATCAGAATTAACATTTGCACATTATCAAGAAATAATACACCAAAATGCTGGAGGTCTATTAATACTTATATCTGCAAATTTAAGCTCAATACCTTCATCAGAGCAACAGGTATGATTTTTAGAATTTTGCATTATTTATGTATATTGTCTGTGTGATAATGTGCATATGTCACTGTATATTTTATATATATTAGCGAAACTACTCTGATATGCGCCCTCAAGTCGCCAAATTTCTCGCCAAATATTTTTGGCGAGAAACTTCACGCTGCCATATTACTATCTAAATTTTTTGTCTACATTTTGAACTTTTAGCCTAAAATGTCTCCAAAAACGCGGTTTTCGCACATGCAAAAATTACGTTTTGAACACACAATTTAGCTAAAAATCCGAAACAGAAACAAAAAATTTAGATAGCAGAAACGTAAAGTTTCTAACCAAAAATATTTGACAAGAATCCATGTACACAGCGACATGTTTTAACTTAAAAAAAAATCTACGAATTGCACAATGTAGGCAACAAACGAATCTAGAAACTACGCACACCTTGCTTTAATAAATTAACATAACAACAATAAATTTCAAAGAATACCATGTACACAGCATCCTGTTTAAACTTAAAAAAAATTCTACGAATTGCACAATTTAGGCAAGGAAGGAATCTACAATCTACGCACTCCTCGCTTTAATAAAATAACATAACAACAATAAATTTCAAATAATACCATGTACACAGCATTCTGTTTCAACTTTAAAAAACATCTACGAATTGTACAGTCTAGACACTAAACAACAAAATAAACTAAAATTTCAAACAATTTAAAAAAACAACAATAATGACAGAAATTCATACTAAAGAACCAATGAACATAACATTCTACAAAATAAGAAGAAGGATAAAATAAAATGCACTTACCATGAATTAATGCGTTTTCGAATAGCAGAAATATAAATTTCATACACCACACGTAATCACTATCGTATTTACATGACAGCCAACACACTATCCAGAAAATTTATACTATGGTTCACAAATAAATAAAATCACAAATCCCTACTTCTATCATGCACTGCCATTAAAAATAATCTCCCAGACCCTCTTTTCCACACTTCCAATACCCACTACCCCTCAACAGGAATATCCACAATCATATTTCCTTTGCCGAACTTCAATTCAACAACTACCATTTTATCTTTCCCTCCCATCTTCTCAGACACAGAGGCGAACCAACGAGCTCCAGCGAAAGATTTTTCAATGTCAACAGGGTTGCCATAGAACATGCAATCGTGCCAAAAACCAGCGCAGAACACATATCGCCACATTTGGTGAAATTAGGGCGTATATTAGAGTTGTACCATGTTAGCAAATTCTAACCAGGGAATTTTCATTGAATTTAATCATTTTTGACCAATTTTTTCCTTTTTCTTCTTTATTAGCATGGATGTTATAAGGAAAAAAAGAATCTCTTTATCTTATCACAATAAATCTTTAGTTTATTGTGAGTTGTATTTTAACTTATCTATTTTTGTGCAAAATATTATAAATTGTAGTTATAATTTATTACAAGGAAGAGAAAGAATCTATTTATCTTATCACAATAAATGCTTAGACATATTAACTTATCTATTTTTGTGCAGAATGTTGTAAATTATAGTTTAACTAAAGAATGTCTTACTTGCTTATTAAAATAATATAACAAATATAAGAAACACAGTATATTTAAATGAAATTAATACCCTGTGTTTTTTTGTTGTTTTTTATATTTGTTTATTATCAGAAAAAGCTGAATGTTTTACTGTATTGTTGTTATGAATGTTAATGAATTTGCTTTGGTTTGGTAGCAGATTCATTGTAAGCATGTGGACATCATTTTGTTACCTCATGAAAATTATAAATGTATTTAGCATGTATAAATTGTTTGAATACTGATTTGCATTAAATAAAATAAGGAATGTGCTATGATTTATAATATGTTCCTTATTTTTCTTTGTCAGAATACCTTAAATTCTTATCAAAATTTGTGATTTAAGTAGTATAATAAATTATTGAGCAATTGAATCATTTCTGGGTACTGTTATCAAGACCGGATTCAGAAATATATGAACATTTGTTTGTATGTATGTGCATATGTATACACACACATACATTCGTACTTACATATATACATGGATACATGAACACATATATGCATACATTCATCCATTTCTGAACCCTGTCCTGATAACAGAACAATACCCATTTCTGTTTTTAAAGACATTGAAATATGGTTAGAGTAAATTAAACGGTGCCCCTTGGATTATTGCTATGTTGTTGTTTCATTTATGGTAACCTGAGTAGTTGAATATTATGACCCTGTTATGATGTAATTGGTTGCATGATTGCGGTGAATTTGAATTGTGGGAAAAGATTTGTAAATCATTGCTACCCAAAGCCAAAATAACATGTCAAAGAATTGCCCAAACTTGGTGTCCATGTGCTGCCAAAAAATCGCAATTTTTCGCCAAAGGGCACCCGTTAAAATATGTTTTTACCTTGAAATATATTTGAAAACAGTGCCCAGAAAAGGTCACATTTTGTTAATTGTTAAAATTCATGGTATAATTTTTACAGGTAATTATGGAGTTAGAGAAACATATGTTAGAAGATGACGTGACAATACCTGTTTATTTTGCTTATGAAACTGAAGAAATTTTAGACATGTATTATAGCATGGAGCAGACATCACCATTGCAACAAAAGTCGAGGTCTGCTGCTGAAGGTGAGATTTTATTATGTAAAATTCATGATAGTCATTCCTTTAAAATTTTAGCAAGTTAGTTATAATATGAAAACATGATAGCTGTTCTTATGAGTAATAAAAAATGGTTACACTAAGAATAAAAGTAATTTAAATCTCAAGTTATTGGAATAATTCAAATTACAGATTTTGTAAATGGTTTCTTGCCATGAAAAAACAATAATAGATAGGTCTGATGTTTGGGAAATTGGAGATATGGGGTAGAAGTTCTCAACTAAGTGTGGTAATCTTTTCTTTGGCTACTGTTGCTGGTCTAGTTGTTTTGATAAGACAGAACTCCCTTTCTGTTAATCATTGCTGATGACCATTCTGTTGACCACTACTGGTCTGTGTATAGAAAGTTTTATGTTTTCAAGATAAGGAACTAGAAAAATCAGCTATGCCATTACTTGGATTTGAACCATGGATCTTTTGATTGCTATCTGGATGTGCTATCTCTTCTTATATATGAAATCATAATGTTTCTTTGTATGTATTTTTATTTATGAGAGAACACAGAAGAATACAATGATTCCCTATATTCTCTTCCACTTAAAGGGTGATTGGGGAGAACCATGAGAGCAACTGTTCAGATAACGACAAATTATTGTCCATCACATTTTAGGTCAATCACCACTCTATAGCATATCAAGTTTTTTGAAGCTGCAAATATTAAAAATCTATTTTGCTCTTTACTGGAATTACCCACAGATCTTCCAACTGCTAGCCTGACAGGCTGTCACTTACATCACTTGAGTACAGAAGGGTAATGTGATAGTTCTTTGTAAGCATAAGTGATTGAAACCCACTGATGTACTTCGTAGTTTTCAATTATCCTAGTTTCAACCATCTGTCAGGAACTCAGAATAGATAAGCTAAGCTAAGTAGTTGCATAGGAAAGTAATAGCTATTTTTGCATAACATTAGGCTTCCTCTGAATAACTATAGATCTTTTGGTAATAAGCAACGGTGAGAATGCTTTACATTGTTTTGTAACTAGTTTCCATCGTGTGCCATTAGGCAGTATGATTTTAAACAAATGAATAACCTTGTAGACTTGTTGGTTACACTTAATTCATGAGTATCCTCTTACTCCAGCCTCTGTGGATTTTCAAGTAAGTGCAAATGGATTGTTTTCGCATGTCTAGCAAGTTTACCTCATTATATTATTCTGGAGGTGAGTCTAATAGTTTGCAAGAGCAGGATGTATCCTTCAAGATTTAAAATTAAATGAAAAAGTAATCTTTGTTTGGTGTAGATTTTGAATAAAACTATTTATTTCAAGGGTAATTAAACACAGTTTCTTACCTTCAGGTGCAGATAAAAGGCTTTTTTTTTTTAAATTTTATTTATTTTTTGCTTCTGAAGAAGAGGGACCTCTGTTTCATCAAAGCTTACTGGTAGACTTTTGCTCAAAATCTACATCAAATTAAGTTAGTTCTTTTGCTTAGTTTTCTTCTATTTTTTCTCTAAAAGTTTCATCTTCAGATACAGGTCTCTAGAACCATTTTTTACCATGCTTTTTCCTTGTTGCATCAGTTTTCAATGTTTTTGATGCTTACGCTCTCTTTTCTGACATAGTCAACCCAAGCACACAAAATCCCTTGTGGCAAGGAGCGCTAGATTACGTCTGCTGTTGGCAACAGCCTTGAGCACCATTCAGGTGACAGTGTGATTTAGCTCAGTTCCATCCCTAATTTTGATGGAGAGGACCCCAGTGTGTGAGGGGGGGAGAAGGGAAGATTTTTCAATGTGAATGGTATTTTTATCTATCCCTGATACTTATTATTCAGTTTAAATTTATAAACTAAAACAAGCTAAGTAATTGACTTAAATACAGCAATGTTGATTTTAATTTATCACACATTAAGCTACATTGATTTTAATTAAACATAATTTTCACAAGTTCTGAACATATTCTGTCACAAAATTGGTTAAATCCTCTAATAAATAATTCTTTGTTTAACTGTGCATAAAAACATTTTTATCTTCCAAGATATATCTGTAATTTGATAATTAGAAACCTTGAATGAACTTTCTTGGTTGTCAGATATTTTCATAAAAGTTTAACAGATTGATTCAACTTCACTGTATGCTTATAAGATCTCTTTTTTTCCCTCTTTTTGGTAGCATATTGTAAATTATCACAGATATTGAAAAGAGTATAAAGGACCTTTTTATTTAACTCAAGTTAAGGCATCATTCGTGCTTACAGAAACCAGCATTCATGGCTTAAATCAGAGGTAATGAATTTGACTTAAGTAAGTAATGCGATTTAGCCTAATGTCTGTAGAAATAGAGTAATGCACGAGTTGGCTCTAACCTAAGTTGGTGCTACAAGCCTAATGGTGAGAATAATACAACGCTGCAGAATACTACTCTCAATTAGAATAGAATCAAATTAGCAACATGGCCTTCTACTTCATTTGGATATCATGTGAACTAGAAATTTACATTCTGGCAGGAAAATGAGAAATGAGGAAGGCAGGAAAGTAGTTTAACATAAAATAACTGGTTATCAAACTGAACCAGGCCTTACATGCCTGGAGCATTAAAAAAAAACATAAAAAAGAATGGATCCTAGTAAAGTAAAGATTATTTAAAGATCTGCAGTTGTTGCCTTGTTAGACCTGTCAACTTAAATTTAATTTTTTTCTTCTTCCCTCTGTCTTTGAAAGTATCTTTGATTTTGTTTAAATGTGTTTATTTTCTGCATAAAAATTTTCCACATTACTTATCATATTTGTCTGAAAGCTGAGAATAGCTGTCCTAGCTGAGAAATTTCAATTTAGGTTAAATCCAGTTTACTCGTAAGCCTGAAAACAAATAAATAACAATGCATCACTAACATTTCTTAATATTTCTTTCTATACCATGGATGGCAAATCTATGGCACATGGCAAGTATTTTGGTGGCACACCACAGGTACATATTAAATTACTTTTATTCATTAATATTCAATGAAAACAACATTAAAAAATTTATCTGCAAGACCAGTAACCATCAAAGGCAGATTCAGAAACAAGCACGAGCAATGGGTGCCATTATGATATTTTCCAAGATGGAAAGGTGACTAGTGCTCCCCTCCACAGTGGAAGTCCCTGTAGGGAAGACTGACATTTTCTTGAGGAAGTATGAGAGTGGAATAAGTTGAATAAGAGAACTTAATAGCAGAATGATTTTTTTTTTTTTTTTTTTTTTTTTTTTTTTTTTGCGAATGAGAACACTTATGATTGCTTTCATCTTCAAGCTTCGATGTTTCGAAATATAGCTGACTGATTTTTTGCAAATGAGAGCACCTATGGATGCTATCATCTTCTTTATTGATTGGTATTTTGGTTTACTAAATATAACAGTCTGAAAAAATGAGAAGATAAAAGGCTTCTATACCATACAAAAACTGAATTTTTAAATAAGTGTCACATAAAACCTTTATATTAAAGCAGTTCTCACATTGTGCCAAGGGAACAAAGAACAATTTTGAAAATTAAACATTTTTATGTAGATTCGATGCTGCGCTTCAATGTAAGAAAGAGTTCAGTGGTTTGAAGTCTTATATTATTTTTATTTTCGTCAGAAATGGACATGAATAATGCACCAGAAAATCTAGAAAAAGAGCTAATTAATTTACAATGCGACATAAATATTATTCAAGAATTTGAAGATTCGGATTTTGTCAACTTTTGATTATACTTGTCAAAACATTAATATGAACTTTTGCACTAAGAATAATCCCTTTGCTTGGGAATATATTTATATGTGAATAACTTCTTTTTATTTTGTTGAATTAATAAGAAAATTAATGAGAAAAGAATCCCATTGACTAATGAGCATCTACAGTCTGTGATGAAGATAATTCTTGGTATTTCTATCCTGGTCTACAAATTTTATCAGAATAAAAATTCCATCAGGTTTATAGTAAGAAATAAAGAGGTTGGTTTATTTACATACAAGCATATGTTTTTTTATTTATACGTTGAAGAAAAATTTAATAATTACGGGAAAGAGGTTTCGTCATTATTATTTAATCCCAAGGTTTTCATTTTGGAAATTTTTCTGAAAACTTAGAAAGATTTCATAAATTGTTTATTTTTAGTTTAAATTAAAGTAAGTAATTTAATGATTAAATAAACATGTTAGAAATATTTGAAAAAAAAATTAAATGAAGAAGTTTATATTTAACTATCAATAAATATGAATTACAAATTGTAAGGTACCAAACTTTAGATTTCAGGTAGAATATTAATATGAATTTGAATATTCTTCCTTTGTGATATTATTTTCACTTATTATTACATTACATTTATTATTTTATTCTCTACATACATTTTGATAAATATTTAGTAAGTGTAATTTAATATTTATTTAAAATTTTTTTGTTTTGTTAATGAAATGTTACATTTTGCTATTAAAGTAAAAAAAAAAAAAAAAAAAAAAAAAAAATTGGAGTGTCATCTGATTTCAAATCATGCACTTGGCCTGCGTGCAGTTTGAGTTTCAGACCACTGCTGTAAAGTATTGGTATATTGTAATAGCATGGCCAAGAATATTGTGTGCTTATTGAGTGTTGTGATTTTGCTTTTGATCTACCTATAGGTGTTTAATTTAGAGTATTTGTGATATTTTTATTTTAACTGAAATTTAATTGTGTTTGTCCCATTCTTTCCCCAGAGCTTCCAAGTTCAATAACATCTAGTGGTTATCAGTTAGTTGTATCTGGTCCACAGCCGAAAGCCCAAAGTGACACTCAGATTATAAGTATTCAGGTATGTAAAACTTATTCAGGTCTGTTAAACTTTTGAAAATTTTCATCATTCTTTTAGTCTTGTAGAGATATTTAGCAGATGATTTTATTACTTTAAGCATTTTTCTCTAGATTTCTTGTCATTGTAATGGTAAAAATGCTTTTTTAGAAATTTCACTACTTTGTCTAGAAAGTAGTATAAATTTCGTAAAAGTAATGTGCAAAAAATACCATACCCTTATTTCACCAAAATTATACGTATATTTTTGGAGACGTGCTGCCTGGGTATAGGTTGTCTTTCTGACCTTTGTTTACATTTTCCCATTTCTAATTTTTACATTAAATCTAAATTGCTTGTACATAAATTGTTGATTAATATTTTACCGTAAAAATTATTTAATCAAGATTGAATACAAAACTGATATATCTTTTGGTACTATTCGGTTTCGAGGGCCGTAAAAAACCGCCAAACTATTGTTGATGCCAATGTTGCCAAAAATAATTGCGGCAAGAAAGGAAGTATAATAGTAAATAACTATTTAAGATTGATGTTTTAATTTAGATGAAAGGTTAATTTCATATAATACTTCTTATTATTATAATTTATATGAAAAAGGCTAAACATGACTGAATGGAAGCATAAGAGTAAATAACTATTTCAGGTCATTATTATAATTTATATAAAAATTGCTAAAAATAACTGAATGGATGCCTGCATGGCTATTTCGCTACCGACTTATTGCTAAAGCATAATTTCATCTTGTTGGTTGTTCAAACGTAATTTTCTATAATGAATGATGCCTTTTCTTTTGAAAATATTCTCGGTAAAGTGCAGAATCTCTCACTTATTTGTTTGCCGCTTTTTACAAGGATAAAAAACAATTAGATTTTTGTCAATTTTCTTTTTACTTTTTAAGTGAAAATAGGTCAATGTGTACATAGATAAAGTCAAGGGTGTGCGCAGTGCCATTTTTGTGCAATTCTAGGATTTTTTTAAAGTAAAAATAGGTCGATGTGCACATGGATACCGAGTATTTGCAATTCTTAAAAACGCGTCAAGCAGTGGGTGATTCTGCACTTTACCCAAAATTCTATTACCGAGTTTTTGTCATGGGCAATTCCCAAATTGTTAAATCCATAGGATATATCAAAAAAGGATTTAAAATCAAAAAAGGATTAAAAAATTAAATTAGTATTTCAATGGTGTCTTAAGAAATATAGAACTATATAAACTTACACAATCTGAAGTCAGCGAGTACGCTAGATTTGGCACACTGTTAAATGGGAGTGTTTGCTAGATTTGGCACTTTTGCGCGTACATTTTCGCTGCAATTTTTTACGGCCCTCGAAACCGAATAGTACCTATTTTTTTAAGTAATTACATACCTAAAAATAATTTCTTATCAGGAATTTTACATCATTTATTAATAATAATAATAGATAGATAGAAATTGGATGACCCAGTACTTTATTTTCTATGTGATTTCTGAATGAAAGCACTAAAAATATTTAAAGAGAGAACTTCAAATGAACTTTGAAATGCCACATTTATGTATGTATTAAAGATTTCATGCATTTGATATATGAAAGTGGATTTAAAAAAAAAATGTTACAAGGGTAATAAAAAATTATTTATTAACGATAGACAAAAAATACAGGAGGGAATTAAGAGGCCTCTTTTGTGTCATTTATCACATAATCACCAAATATATTTAAGCATTTATCTGTATGCAGAACCAACTTGTTTAACCCGACTTGGTAGAAATCACATTCCTGTCCATTGAGCTAGTTTTGGGTAGCTGTTTTCACATCACTGTCTGAAGAGAAACTCATTTCAGATAAATGTTCCATCAGTTTCGGAAAAAGGAAATAGTCACTGAAAGCTAATTCTGGGCTATATGGGGATGACCCCAAACTTCTCACTTTTGCAGCAATTTTTGAGTTTGGTGAGCAGTATGGGGCCAGGCATTTTTATGTAGGAGGATGACACTCTCACTCAACATGACAGGGCACCTGCATCGGATGGCTTCACATAATCTTGTCAAAGTGGCACAATAATGATTGGCAGTAATGGTATGGTCATACTTCAGGTACTTGGTCAGGATAACAAATCATGGCTTGCAGCTCCAAGTGATACCACTTTTCTAAATGTTTTGTCATTTCAATCACTCTCATGCTGCTAGACATTTAGTGTGATCTGTGTAACTCTGTGAAAAAAGTATTTCATCCGCAATAATTACTTTTCAAATGCTGATGCTTGTACTCTTTTTTTTTTTTTTTGATCCACTTATATAGTTTATATTTATTGGAAGACCACAATTACATGCACATCTAAAAGTTGAAGAGACAAATTGAAAAGCAATAAATATTTGAAATGTGTTTTCTCTCAGATTTGTCTTAGTACACTGTGATATGCATAACCCATATTGTTAACTTAAAAGCAAAGCTTTGATTAATCGAGGGATTCTGGAGGGGGAGGGGAATTCAATACTTTGAGGGGTAACGTAATCATTTATTTAGTTCTGCATTTAGTTTCAGCTTATAAATATTAAAAAAGTATATTAGAATTTTGGTATTAATCAATATTTTTAATACATTATGTAGTTTAATTAATAAAACATGTTAAAAATAATCTAAATCTAAGGAAATGCATATGTAATTTTCAAGTTTTGGAAAGGAGGGTGGAATGAACTTTTAGCAGTGGTGAAAGAGGTGCATGGAGCAAAAAGGGTAAAAAACACCTGGACTGGTCCTTGTACCGAACTTTCAGATGTTAATAGCATGGTTAAAAGCTAGATTTTTCAAGCATTATGGATATAAACTTTCAGCATTTTTCAATTATCTGCACTCCTACAAAAAGTCAGCAATGCATTGCTCATTTTTTGAATTAATGAAAAAAGTTTGGCTGTCTGCATGGTTAATAAATACTAATCTATTTATGAATAACAATAAAAAGAGGTGTTTTTATAAGAAAAAAGAAATTTTAAAATAAAAATAAAAATCTATATGGTTGATATTTACATTTCGAGAGTTGGTGGATATTCTTCAGCGAAATGACAGTTAATTCTAATGTGTATTTAAACATATGTTCGGGATGCACAAATACTAATATTTGGTACTTTTGTTTATCTTATCCCCTTCCCCTAAAACTGGTAATTTAGAATGCAAAACTAAGATTCTATTATTTAGTGATGTGTAGCTGTTGCCTGGTACTTTTGTTTATCTTATCCCCTTCCCCCAAAACTGGTAATTTAGAATGCTAAACTAAGATTCTATTATTTAGTGATGTGTAGCTGTTGCCATTTCTACTGACAGGTATTTTGTGATTTGTTTATTATTTTAAAGTTTTAGATATAAATTTTATTATTTAATCTTTATGCTTTGTAAATTTCAATTTTAATCAATGAATGAAAAAAAGCAGACAGTGAAATTTTCATCATGAGGCAAAACTTATAGATTGATGACAGACAGTTCAATAGAGAAATTCTATGTCTTTCAGAGCAGTTTGGAAAAAGATCCTTTCCAAAGAGCAAAATTATTGTCTGCTTTGTATCTAAAAATATGCTGTTTATATTAATAAAATTAAAATAAATAACCAATCAAAAAGTGGGAACATCATTTGTTGTCTTATCCATATTACATGGAACAATGGTTGCCAGAGCCTACTCCAAAGAGAGGTTGGACTTCTATCTTCCACCCCCAATTTTTTTTGAGGGAGAGTTCCCAGGGGGGGATCCGGGGGGGTCTCCCCTTCCAACCAATCCACACGAGAGGACTTTCGCCTCACTGCACATTTAGAGTGCTGCCATGCTGCACAGATACTATACATTTACAAACATCCACGTCTTCTCTGGGATTTAAAACCAGACCCTTTGGTACCGTAATAGGCTTACCTAACCACTATACCGTCTGGGTGACGGGAATATCATTTATAATAGAATATTGAACAAAACAGAAAGGAAACTTCGTACTTGCATATTATTTCATCAGCCATTAAATTGTTGCCAAGGATTGCAATTTAGCTCCAGTTATGGATAAGTGTGACACAATAGTGCACTTATAACTTGTGCACTTATAACTTGTTTACTTATAACTTGTTTGATGTAACTTGGACTGGTTCTCAGTAAGCTCCATTGTATTTTATGAATAAGAATCTAAATTAACTATTATTGCTGTTAATTTTTCTTGCACTTTGAAAAAAAAAATATTAAAATTTGGCACCTGCCTTTTACAGAACAGCAAGCAGTGAAATATTTTTAAAGTTGTGGAATTTATCATTAGAAAAACTCTGGTTCCTGAATATTGGTTATGAAACAGTAATAGATTGGAATGATTACCTGCAGAAAGATTTTACTCATAATAGCTAATCTAAAAAGAGTTTCCAGTGAAATAAAAAAAAAAGTCTAACAAAACTATTGGTTATGAAACAGTAATAGTATAACTCGAAGAAATCCTTTTTATAAAATGCAAAAATGAAGCAGGTTGAATGCTGATCATTTATTAAATAAAGAAGCATAATTTTGTACAGAATTCCACAGGAAAGATTACCTCAGCTTTTGAGGATTTTCTGAAAAATTTTCAATATAAATATTAGATAAGTTATTAAGATAATTTCAAATATTCAAGCATTCAGATTTTCTTGCAGCAAATCAAGGTGAAAGGAATGTGAATTTCTTATGTTGTTTTAAGTGCTGTAATGTGAATAAGAGTCGAAATCTCCGGCGAAAGTGTTTGTGTGCATTTCTAAATGTTTTAGAATAACTTCTTTTATTTAAGAATCCCCTTACTGTTGGTAGTGGGGCTGCATATAATGACAGCACTGATAATACAGAATATATTAACAGCATTTAGTACAGCAATTCCCAGTTTACCATGTGTATGCATACCCCTGTACATGATGACTTAGTACAGTTTACCATGAATGATTGCCTCAGCTTTTGAGGATTTTCTGAAAATTTTCAATAAAAATATTAGATAAGTTTTTAAGATAATTTCAAATATTCAAGCATTCAGATTTTCTTGCAGCAAATCAAGGTGAAAGGAATGTGAATCTCTTATGTTGTTTTAAGTGTATGAAATAATTGATGATGGATATTGAATGCTGATAATAAATGTTCAGAAAGTTTGCATTTGTCATTCAATAAAAGAAGAAGTGGTAAAAATATATTTAAGGGTGTGAAAATTGGTAATTTTTGGCAATTGGCAAGCAAGGCACAGTTTCAAGATGGCTGCTAAACAAAACCAAAATAATAAGTCAAAGAATTGTACAAATTCAGTGTCCATGTACATGTTGATCTATTTTCACTTAAAAAAATGTCAGAGAATCGCACAAATTCTGCATTGCTCTCTGACTTGATCAAATATGTCCATGTACACATCAATCTATTTTCATTTAAAAATCGAAGAAGCACCCAATTTTACTCTAGAGCCAAATAAAAAATATATAAGCTCAATATACTGCATTTTAAATCAACATTAAATTTATTGTGTTAACAGTCATTAAATTAATTGTTATCAAGGTCACGGGCACAATGAACTGGAAGTTGATTTGCCAGCACTTATCTTCAGGGCAGATGTTTTTATTTTATTTGGCTTATAATTCCTTACTAAATGTAGTATTTCATCTCGATGTACTCCATCTTTGATATGATTTAAATCAAATTCCTCATTGTTATAATTCGCTTCCGATAGTGAAGAAAGTGACACAGAGGTTATTGAAAACGAAAAAATTTCGATTGACAAATTAGTCGGTATTCTCGACACAGCAATTATATGACTTGAACTGCGGAACTTTGTAACTGAACAAGAAACTATGTCTGTTTATAAAATTAAAGAGAAAGTATTATCACATAAAACAAAGAAACTTAAACAACTTACATTGAAAGAAATGTTTGCTAGAGTAAACAAATAAATATTAAGCTTTTTTTTTGTAAATTTTAATACCCTTTAGATCATAATTGTACTTTATTTCATAAATTACTTTTTCATATTTTTAATTTTATAATTTCTGCATACCATCTTACCAGATTTAAACTAATGATCAATAATCCAGATTAAAGACTTTTGACTGTATAGTGCAATTTCATGCTTTGAAGCTGACAGCACTTTTGAAAATACCTTCTTGTTCATGGGCCATTAGTTGCAAAAGTGCCAAATATAGTAGCCTGTTTATATCACATCATGGATATCAAATTATTTTTGAACTGAATAGCTGTGCCGTGATGTCATTATGATTAAGTGAGAAGACTGAATATCAATCCAGGAATTTCTATCCTAGATTTTCAATTGATTAAGCAGATGAATTGGCGGCTGCAGGATATGACACCTGCAAGTTAACTACAAATACAACATTTTTGATCCTGATATAGGATGCCATATGCAAGATGATGAAATGATATCTGGTGCCACTGGTTGCCACTATCTACGTTCCTTTCTCATCAAATTCTTGTGGTTGGATTTAATAACATAATCATTCTTTTCATGAAGTTTATGTATCGCTAAGGTTACTGATATTAAGTTAGATTTTGTGCCAACATTCATGCTTTGCACTATATGCTATCTTATTAACAGAAGAGTATTCATTTGAATACATGTAATTATCAAACTTTTAGGTTTTTTACTATTGAATTAAATTTTTTTAAACATATTTGATAAAAGCATACGATTATTTAATAGTTGCTTTTCCTTGTGCATGGAATACAGTAAAAACATACTATGTTAAAAGGTAATTAGGTGTGGCTAAAAGTGCAAAATCTTCTTTTATGTTGTTAATTTACACTTTTATTCTTTTCTATTTGTTAACCTTTATTTTAATATTTAAAATATTAGCATGTATATCATACTGATTTCAAATTTAACCCTCTAATTTTTTTATTCTTTTCTATTTGTTAACCTTTATTTTAATATTTAAAATGTTAGCATGTATAATACTGATTTCAAATTTAACCCTCTAATTTTTAAGTTTTGGGAAATTTGTGCTTTCTTAGCGAAAACCCTGGCCGCCCAGAGGGTTAAAAAAAAAGTATTTTATCTGTTATTGATGTAGGCTCCATGGATGGCCATTCCAAATAGGTATCAAAGTGAACTATATTTTAAGCAATGAAATGCAAATAAGAAAATGCCATAAATTCTATTCAAGATAAAAAAGTTAAATATTACATAAAAAGTTTTTAAATTTATTTTATATTAGATTTATGATGCATGTAAATTAATTTTCTGTTGTAGGGTAAATTATGTGGTTTTGGTGTTGAAGAACAGTTACCTACAGTGGCAATTGTTACTCACTATGATGCTTATGGAGTAGCACCTGTAAGTCTCATTCCTTAATAGAATAGTAATAAAAGTGTTTATTTTATGTAGTTGAATTTTATCAAGAAACAGTTTATTTATTTATTTTATTAATAGTAGAATTTTATAACTAATTCTTCTAATGGAAAAAAGTTCATTAGATCATATTTATAAGTAACAGTGCACCATATTTTGTATAGGCCTTATCATATGGGTCAGATTCTAATGGTAGTGGTGTTGCTGCATTGCTTGAACTAGCTAGATTGTTGTCTCGCCTTTATACAAACTCAAGAACTCATCCAAGGTAATTTGTTTCATTTTGCTGTTAATTAATTGTCAAGTGGCACGTTACTAATATGCATTCATGTGGTCTATCTATGCTTAATATTTTTCATCTTGTTCTATGAAGTATTCTGTCTCGATTTTCTTTAATAATGTAGAAAAATGGCCAATATGCTCAAACCCAGTTGACAAGCTACCACATCATGGTGCCGAAAACTGGTTTAGAATTTAGTTTTATGGATAAAATATGAAAATCTGTAATAAGGAAGATACTGTACAAAAAAATAAAGCGAATGCTGTATTTAGTCATGCTCCATGCAGTGCTATGGGTCAGTGTAACTGATGTTGATGCTGATATATTTGTTAGATTTAAAAATATTAATTAAAAGAAAAGATTTTAATTATTTTCTCTTTGTTTTTATCAATAGAATTTATTCTGTCCATTTCTAACTTTAGGTATCTGGCATTTTGTTTCCCTAACAGTAGAAACTAGATGATAGATTGTTTTTAAAGTCCCCCCCCCCAAAAAAAAAGAATCACTTTTTATACTATCCACCCTTTTTTCTACTTTTATTGCGTGTTCTGTAGTGGTATTTTGTTAAACTATGTAATGCTTCTTTTATCAAGTGTGAAATATTTTTTGCTTATTTTCTTTATGGTTAGGAAAAATAGAATCTTTAATAAAATGCAAGATTATTCAGTACTTAAAAAAGTGTAATTTGAAAAAGTGATAAATATTCCATTTTTCTGCATGCATTTTCATTGTGCTTTACTTAATGATTACATTTGTTGGTACTCTTCTGTATCGGGATCAGAGTCGTCTCCAAATGTTTTGCTAAACTCACCAAGAAAATGGTCCATATGAAGTTGTCAATGTTTAAAGTCGTTATATGTTTAGCTTTTTAAAAAAGTAAAAGAATGCATTTTAAAAATTGACAATGAAATTACAGATTCTAAAGACGTAACATTGTTGAATTTTTAATTTTTTTAGTTAATATAATTATTTTATGTACTGTTTATTTTTACCTGAAAACTTCATTTATTTTAGTCACTTTTAAAAAAAAGTTTTAGCCAATCAAAAGTCTCATCAAATTATATTTTCATTTTACTTATCAACTTAAAAAAAATTAATATTTTTAAATAATTTTTAGGTTCAATCTGCTCTTTCTTCTCTCAGGTGGTGGAAAATTTAATTATCAGGGTACCAAAAAGTGGATTGAAGATAATATTGATAGTTCAGGTATAAACCAACATTGGTTTTAAATTTTAATGGTTTGTTTATTTAAAATGAATATTTAGTAACAATTTGAATTTGTTAAGAAATATGTTTTTGTATATTATTTTGATTTTGTACGATGTAGTATTTATATAAAAGTGCAAAATACCTTTAAAAACTGTTTATTTGTAGTATTAAAAATATAGAATTTTTTTAAAGGCATTAAAAGTTTTTAAATTCTGTTTTGACAATTAACTGTGGAAATAGAACAGTTGTATTTTAGCAGCTGGTTAGTAAGTAAAAGAAATAAAAGATATGATTTATATATAGGAATGTACTTTTTAAGTAAATAAATAAATAAATAAATAAAAATAAAAAGATTTTATAAAAAACAACTTTTGTTTTAAATCTCACAAAATAATCAATTAACTGAAAGCAGGAAAATAATTTTTAATGTAGTTTTTAATGAGGTCAAAGGATTAAATAATTCTATTTACGAAACTCATCTGAGTGTGTCTAAATAACAAAACTAATAATTGAATTGCATTATAAAAAATGTAAGCCGTTACCTTAATACATTTAACAAAATACATTTAAGTAGCATGCTGCATGCTCTTATTATTCATGATATAAAACTGTATTTTGAATTTTGTAAAGATAATTATTTAACTTCTTGCTCCTATTAAACTACATGATAAATTATTTTTCTACTGTTTAAAAAATAATTTATCATACAGTTTAATGGGAGCAAGAGTTCATTTATCATTTTGCAAGTTTTTAATAAGAGATTATTTTATAAAAGCTTTTTATATTATTTATTTTTATCACTTATTATTATTATTTTGTATGCTGTGTGTATAAATTTACATAAAGCAACAGCCATGTCATATTAAAAATAAACAAACTTGTAATATGAAAACTTCAGGTTACAGTCATTTTAAAGAAGATTTTATGAGTTTATAATTACAGATTTTAATTGTGTGTTTAATATATATATGCAAGATATAACAAAATACGATGGCTGCACTAAGAAATGGTTGACAACATCAAAATTAACTATACTAGATTTTATTTTTTCTTCCTAAATTCATCTGTTGTCTCAAATTCGAGATCTTTTCATGTTACACAACGCCGCTTAAAAAATGGAACTAAAATCTAAATTTAACCAATCACAGCTTAGCTATACTTATTCACCTACTTATTATAAATACTGCTTCGCAAGCAACTACGTCACTCCTTTCCTTCTGCACTGCTAATATCTCCACGCTACTATGCCCATTTGGCTAAAATAACGTATCTTTTTACATGTGTATGTAAAAATTATTGTAATTGTTTATAATCTAGAAATAGCTTACTTACCAAAATGATATAATATGTGTGAGAATAAAGATTAGTGATTCATCAGAATCCAGTTTTGTTAGCGTCGTTTGTTTTGTTTGTTAGCGTCGTTCAACCTTAGCCATGCCAACTGTTGAAAGTTAAAATACCATTGATGACTACGCACTTAAAATATCATATATATATATTTAAAAAGTCAAGATGATAATCCAGTGAAGCTGTATATATATATATATATATAATTAGAATTAGAAAAAATGATAAATATTTTTCTTCCTTTGAACAACTGGAAGAAATACTGTTGCTGATTCATAAAACTAAATCTTTGCTGTTGAATAAAATTAAAACTATACTAAAAAGATTTGAATTTTAAAAGCATATTTGTTCTTGTATCTCTTTTTTGAACAAAAAAAGAGCATGAAGAGAAGAATGTTAAAATATTAAAAAAAAAACTTAAGTTGGTCATTTGAATAAAACATTAAAAAGAAAAAAAAAAAAAAAAAAAAAACCACTCATAGAGGAATTTAATTTATATGTTACTGCAAGTTTTTATCACAATCATTAGATTACTTGGAATCATTAGATTTATTTAGATGAATATATTTATTTAGTTGAATATATTTATTAGTTGATTTATTTAGTTGACAGAAATTAAAAATTTTGTTATCAAAGTTTTATTGCTTTAAAAACATTTTTAGCAAAATAATGTTAAGGAATGGAAAGAAAATGACTTATTATTGATTAACTTCTGTTGTATTGATCAAATTATTTGTATAGCATTGAAGATAAAAGAAAGTATTAACTGTTGTAGTTTGGAACGAGTTTGTTGTAGTTTATCACAAACATAATTTTATTGAAACTGAAAGCAATGATATTTTGGGTTTGTCTTCAAAGTATTAAAAAAAAAAAAAAATTAAAAGTAATACTGTAATATAATATAATACACATACAAAAATTTTATGATTACTACCAGCCTTTGCTTTTAAATTAATTTACAACTTTTAATATTATCTTTTCAGATGGTAGTTTATTGCCAGATGCCCTTTATACCCTATGTTTAGATACAATTGGTGATGAAGATAATTTATATCTGCATGTTTCTAAGCCACCAAAGGAAGGCAGTCCTGGTGATATCTTTTATAAAGTATGCATTAAAAAATCTATTTAAATTTTTGAATTATTTAATGTTTTTTTGGGTCAAGTAAATTAAAATTAAAAAAAAATCTTTGTAGTCTTTGAGAATGCCTATTGTTTTTAATTTGATGATTATTTATTTGGAAACTATGTATGCATATGTATTTATTTCCAAATAAGAATGACAGAAATTGAAAAGTTGTAAAATTGTTATGTGTTTTTACCATAGTGTAAAAACACATAATAGGAGATAGACCCAATACAGAATGTACGCAGGGGTGACCCAAAATGTATTTAACATGATGGCTAGTTGCCCAGGCTGGCTTAGATGGGACTTGTTGAAATAAAAGCTTTTTTTTTTTTTTTTTTTTTTTTTTTTTTTTTTTATAAAATATCCTATCCTCATACTGGGCTGTTAAAAAATTTCTTAGGTCATTAAAATAATTTAGTTTTGTTAAAATATTTTTTCATATTCATTATGTTTTGAATAATTTTCAGTTTTAAACTTTTTTTGTTAAAACACTATCTGCCCAACCATCCTGCTGGGTCACCAGTCGTTGATGACTAATTTTTTGGCAACCTAACATGTAAAGAAAACTGTGTTGAAAATTACATAAAACAGCAATGAATTATTGAAATTAAGTATGCAAGAAATGTATGTAATGAGCCAGTAAATATTACATAAAGAACCACTCAAAATTTCGTAAAACAGTAACAAATTGACTACATTAAAAACACAACATACACCTGTATTAAAATGTCCATGCGCACAGCACATGACTTAAAAAACATAAGAGCTTTAAAAAGTTCTAACTTAAGAAAACATCAGAGAATTGCATTATTCTTGATATTGCAGGCAAACTGCCTTTGCTGTCCATAAAAAAAAAAAAAAAAAAAAAAAAAGTTCAGTTCTCAGATTTTATCACAATTTCCTAAGAAAAGTTCATAAACTACATTTGAGCTGTACAATTTCTATAATAATTTGACAGAGTTAAATGAAAGCTTAAATGCATTATTTTATATCCATTTTATTACTTAGCAACAATAACGAAAATCATTCTGGATAATATTTGCATTTTTACTGTGAGTTCAACTGTCTGTTTTAAAATATCTTAAAAATAGTCGTTTTGCTTTCCTTCCAGACATTTTCTTCAAATGAATTCCCTAAGGTAACTCAGGCAGTTTGTTTGCAAAATACAGCAGAAACCACAGACAAAACCCTCAATGAAATCATAAAAAATATGGATTGCAAACTTCCCTTTCTGCCTCGATAATCTGTGGTATAACTTATGCCCACATTCTTTTTCTCCATTGAGACAGAGAATTTTTTTAAAATTATAGCTCCAATAAAGAAAAAAGCATATAAACTGCTTTATCACCCTTCTCCCAGAAAGGGGAATGTTGTTTGAAACAGACAATATTGTAAGTTGAATGACAAATTTCGATGACTGAAAGAAAACTGTCATATGTCTGATGATGAAATCATTGACAGTATTTTAAATCCAGTACATTCTGATCATGATGATGATGTAAAGAACAGTAAAAAGAACAGAAATCTTTAGAGTAACATAGCTGTACATCTAATTAAAGATCAATGACTATGTATAATTCAGAGGAGAGAGAACATCCAAAAATTTTAAAACCTACAAATGCTGGTATAAGTGGTGTGGAACAGCAGCAATTCACCTTTGGTTGTACGGATGTAGTCCCATTGCACTAATCATTAAACTTTTCCCAAATTTTGATGAAGACTCCAGGGGATTGTCAAAGGGTATCCCAACTTTTTTCCCATACCACCAAATTATGCAAGAGGACTTATGGCTCACTATGTATTTTGAGTGTCCTCATGCCACACAAATACTATGCACTTTCAAACATCGATGTCTTGTTCGGTATATGAATCCTAACCCAACAATACAGCAGCCAGGATAGCTAACCATTGTATTGATCAAAGCAGCTAAAACACATACAGTAACACATACATCTGTGTATATGGGCTTTTCAACCTTATTTTGCATATTTATAAAAAAATGGTTTGAAGAAATGAACTGCTTTAAAATGAGTTTTTTTTTTTAATTTGTTATTTAATTTTTCCTTAATTCTAATTCTTATTATTTTTCTTTTATGATGTAAAATCTGCAAAATTAAAATTTGTGTTGCCTTTGATCTCAGGCTGTATGAATTTGCAGTCTTCTGCATTGTATAATTACAAATTTATATTGACATTAGCTGTTTGAAGTATTTGATATTTATGTGGAATTCTAATTTTAGTAAAAATAAAGGAAATATGTGTAACTTCATTAGAATTATGATGAAAAAAAAAGTGTATTAGTTAAATATTAATCCTAGTCTGATGTATTTTTGCATTAAACATTAAAAGCATAAGTTTAATGCAGAAATATGTTTCAGGTAATTTAAGGCTATATAGCATGAAGTTGTATTTTGGAAACTAAATTTTAAATATATTTATTAAAAGTTACAATTTTTAGTATGTTTGTGTATTTAGTGTTTTCCATAATACACTATTATTACTTTTAAAGCAGTATTCTTTTGTGCCATAAATCGAAATTGTAAATGAGCTGAACTTTTAATTTTGAACTTCTTTATTTTGATAGCTGATGATCTCTGAATGAAAGATATTGTGTGTTTTTAGCACATTTAAATTTCATTGGAGGCTATTTTATTTTAAGATGTAAAATACATCTTTCCCTTTCTTTTATTTTATGATGTAAAATGCATCATCACGGTTATGTTTATGTATTTTTTTTTAATAACACAGTGTTGTTGCTCTCAAAAAAGCATTCTTTCGTGCCATAAACCCCGCTATTAGAAATTGTAACTGTTCTGAACTTTTAAATTTTAATTTCTTATTTTGATAGTTCTTAGTGCTCACATCAAAAGAGATCATGTGTTTTCAGTATGTTGAAATTTCATAGGAAGCTGTTTTATTTTATGATGTAAAATACATATGCCCCCTCTCCCTGGAGAATATACCGGAACTTTTGATTTATAGACTATGGCATGTACTAAAACTTTTTGATTGGTTATTTTTCTTTTTAAATTATAAAATAAAATTGAAACTGAAATTACATTTACTTTTATTGGTTTAGTATACTGAATATTATATTTGAAATTTGTTATGTTAATTTTATTTAGTATCAGTAGTAATAAATCATACTGAGATAGTAATTCAAACTCCATATTGTAAATTTTATGACAGAAATATTTTTGTAGGAACTGCAATGGGCTGCTGCACAATCTAAAGAAGTTAACATCTCTCTAGTCCATAAAAGGATAAATCTTGCTGATGAGCTCTTATCATGGGAGCATGAGAGATTTAGTATTCGGCGTCTTCCTGCATTCACAGTCTCTCATCTTCAGTCCCCCCGTTCACTCAGGAAAACTACAATTTTAGATATAAGGTGCTTTCATTTTCCCTTTCTTTCATTTCATTGCCTTTATTGTCGAGCTAGAAGTTATTGCTTAAAATGATGCTTCATTGTCATGTAATTTGTAATATGAATTTCATGGATATTTGAGTCTGTTGATAGGAAATGGCTTATCAGTGTTTCTTCTTATTAATTTGTGATGTCTTCTGATATCTTAATTGAATACCATACTTGCTTTGGCAGTATATATTTACAAATTAGAATGATACAGAGATCTTAATTAAATACTCTTTTCTATTGTGGATAATTCAAATGAGATCCATTAAATGACTCTTCCACCACCATATAACTAATACTTCCATTGATATTTTATTAGAATTAAATTTATTGTTAAGATAATAAATCCTATATTTCCTCACATACCCCCTTCCTTTTTTTTTTTTTTTTTTTGGTATTAATTTTACCTTCTGAAAATCAAGACGGGAAAATTAGGTGAATATTTTAATTTTTGAAGGATTCAGTTACAGTAAAAACATGAGAAATGTAAAGCAGCCATGGATAAGCTTCTGGTAACTATCACAGTATTATTTCTTTAAATGAAATCTACATTCCAATAAGAATTCATAGTGGTAATATTATAATATTTTTATTTCTACCTCCCTGTAACTTGAATTCCATTATTTTTATTGTTAGCTCTGCTACTATGTAGACCTCAGATCATCTGTAAATAATTAGAGAAAGTGAATGTGTAGCTGGCTGAGTGAAATCATAGATTGAATGTTAATTCTTTTTTTTTTTTTTTTTTTTTTTTTCCCAGTGGTTAATCGGCTCTTGTATTAGACTAGCATAAAATTCGACAGTTAAAAGGGAAAGGTTTGTGACCTTCTCAGATAGTGTGAGAGGTTTGTCTTTGTTAGTAAGATGAAAGCAATCACTAAGTGGATGAATCCATTTTTAAAGTTAATCCTTTGCGGCATGGGCACACCTAAAAGATTTTCTTCTATATGTACAGAAAAATTTAATGAAAAAGGATTTGAAGGTTACTATAGGTTACTCTGAACCTTGTTTATTTATAGTAGATGGCAGCTCAACACAAACCAGTCCATATATTGTATCCATATTTAGTTTTTTAAGACCCTCATTTTTCAAGAAATTTTCCAGATTTTTTTTAGGGTATAAAAGTAATTGTTTGAAAGGAAATTTCTATGTTATTTTTTTTTTTTTGGCTATATGCCTTATTCTATATTAGTTTTAAATTTTTACCTTGAAATCTTGCCTTAAATCGAACGGGAAACTAAAGTGTTTCCAGACTGGGCACATTGCGAGTCTAGGTCACTAAGAGCAGCTGTATCTTTGTTTCTCTGCAGCTCATTAACATAGAAAGGTGGGTCTACATCTGTGTTTCATTTCCTGTTTTTCTTTTTCTCTTTTTTTTTTTTTTTTTTTTTTTTTTTTTTTTTCTTTTCTTTTTCTTTCTTTTTTTTTTTTTTTTTTTTTGGAGGGGAGGTTTAATTATCAACTGAGAAATTGTTGAAGTGGTTTCCTGAAGGTCAAAGCTAATTTTATCAGTTAGCTGTTTGGTTTTTCACTAGAGGAGTTCTCTTTTTCTCTTTTGGTTTTTGGTTCAAAGAAGTTTTCTTAGTGTTACGTTTAATAGGTTTGAGTTGTAGACATTTTTATTTTATAGTTTACAGTTTCAAATTGTAGATATAATATTAGTATTTTATTTCAGATTTTTAGTTATTTTCCAAACGGATCGGAGAGGGCTGACCATTTCTAAAGCACTGAAAGTGCTACACGAATTGCTTTCAGATAGTGAATCTGATACGGATCCCAGTATATTTGCAAAACATGCAATATTGGGTTGTGCTTTTTTAAAGGTAGCGTCACTTTCTTCGAAAAGTACCACGATGAAAAAAATAGGCTAAAGTGTAAATATGAAATATAAATATCATTTACCTAAGTTACTTTTTTCCCATTCATAAGCATATAATCATCATATAACTAAAAATGAGCTTTTTAGGGGGTTGTTGAGTAGCAGATGTTCCCATGGCACATCCTGGGTAATCTGCAATAGTGTTCAGAATCTAGTGTTTTTTAATCGTAGGCAAAATCTCTTACTTTTTTATGCGCTTCCGAGCAATGCTCGTTTCAGCACTCTTTTCAATCAGTGTGCCCACTTCGGGCACATCCAGAGAAGTAAAACAATAAGTGCTATCTTTACAAAATTTTTACTTGTGTACTCCTCTAGGCCTAATTAAACTGCCTACCTGTTTTATTATTATTATTATTATTATTTTATTTGAAATTCCAATTTTAAAAGGAGCGTGCCGAAAAGGATAAGGGAGCTCGTTTTTAAATGCATGAACAATGGGATATATTGAAATTTTGTTAATTTTCAAAACCTGGTCCTAAAAATTTGGGGAAAATATATGAAGAAATACAGTGCCACATAATATTTTATTTTAATAATCTATAGGTTATGGTGCAGGAAATTAATTTTATTGAGTGAAACATTAGCTGGTAATAATTTAATATGTGATCTACTAATTTTAAGTACTTATTTATTTCTTAGACAGCAGTATTGAAATACACATTTGAAGGTGCAATAATATGGTGAGATAAAGAAATAATTAAAATTTCCATCAATTTTAATGCTGTCATCTAAAAAATAAGTAACTAATTAAAAGTGGCAGATTACATAATCACATAATTACTCATCAGCTTATTCTGGGATACCTTATGCATGTAATAGACTTATACTTCTTTAGTATGGAAAACTGGAAAAGCATTACTTATGAATCCTTGGGAGAGGGGTCTCATTACTTCATGACATCTTAAAATACACCTAAAGGTTTTAATACTGATGCAAAAATTTAGGTATGGTTTAATTGAGCATTTGAATTTTTTACATATTTTCTCCTTCCATTTTTTTAAATTAGTAAAACAAGAGAAGTCCTGTAAGATATTAATGGCTTTATGGGGGGGGAATGAGGTTGTTACATGTGTGTATAAGTATCCATTTTAATTTGCTTTTCTGGAAATTGGTTGACTATAATAGAAATGAAATAGGTAATTTGAGCTACAATTAAATACAATTGTTGCATTTACAAAATATATCATTGAAGCATAGTTACTAGGTATGAATTGCTCAGATAATAATCTTTGCCAAAAATACAAATAAAATTTTTGAAATAATGGTAGATTATTGGATACCTTCTGATTATCCATACTGCTGGTTTCAATATTGGATAGTATTGTCTTGTGGCACATTATCTAGTATATATGCACAAGCAACTCACACATGTTTGTAATGTAGTTGAATATACATTGATCGCATTTTATGTTTAGTTGCCTAGTGTAAGATGTCTGCCATATAAATTTTCTTCCTGCTTTTAAATTTTTTTCATAAAATGCTAATTTTTACTATTATTTATGAATGAAACAGTAGCTATCAGCTAAATGAATATTTTCCCATAAATTCACAAAAAAAGCCTTTTTAGGTGTGCAGATAATCAAAAAATACTGTGGGGAAATAACAAAGAGTAAATTAATTAACAAAAGACATTTTAATGAAGACAAACGATGATAACATAAATTTAACATTTACGAGAAGAAAAAGTAATTATTTGTCATATTTCTTTACAGCAGAAGTGGCATCTCTGCTTCTACATTCCTCTAACATCAGTCGTTCATCATCTGAAAATGATTCTCCTAATTTATGGCTTTTTGCTTTCAGAGCTCGTAATAAAAAAGATGATGTCAGGGCTTGGTTATATCTCAGCTGCTGGATTTTGTCATGGCTGCAAATGATCAGTGCTACATTCTTGGTCATCCTAGAGTGGACTGGCCCTCCAAGACACTGCAAAATTCATAAAAAGAAAAAAAAAAAAAAAAAGGCAAGATATACAATAATAGAATAACCATTCGTGAAAAATTTAAAGCGCCGTTCATTTCTTGACGAATTTGGCATGTGTGTGGTGCACATGGGCCCCTCATTTGCCCTTCCTTTACTACGTCATAAGTGTTGCCATCCTTAACTTTCGTGACCTCATAAGGTCCGAAATAGTTGGCTCTTAATTTTAAGTGTGGTCCAAATTGAGTCCCTTTTGATTGCTACTAAGTCACCAACTTTGTATGGCTGTGCTTCTTTTCTCTTGGTGTTGTATGTCTATTTTCTTGTTGGACTTGAGAAATTTGTCTCTTGCCTTGCTTTTGTAATTCTTTTCTTTAAGACTCGAATTGAGATTGAAACTCACTTTCTAACAGTTCTTTGAGCTGATCGGTGCCCTTACTGTTAATTTTGGTACTGAAGAGTAATTCAAACGGAGCAGTGTTAATGCTTCTCTGATATGTTAAGGATTCTCTGGATGTCATGGGTACCATTCGGATGGTTTTTTGAAGGACAGTTTCGCTAAGCCTGATATGATGATTAGTTTAATTCGCTCGACTTGTCCATTTGCCCTCGGCAGGCTTGGGGATGAGATGATGTTTGATATCTTCTTTAGATTGCAATTGAATTTCCAATGATCACAACTGGTATTGGAGCATGGGGAACGAGAACGTCGGAGCTGCAATGCCTAAGAATGAAATTAGATACAATACAGAGAAGCTGGCTGCTGTGCATGACCCAAGCTAAGTGGCTTGGCAACCATCTCCACAGAGGTGCTATGTGTACTGGTGGGTGTCCTCCCTCTTTCCTTATCCTATAAATTTTTTTTCAGAAGTTTTATATTAAGGACTAGGAAGAAAGATTTTATAATCTAGGAAGATTATTTTGTAACAAGAAGTACCTTTGAAAAACTAAATACTAATTTAATTCAAAGGAGAGAATATCGATCCCTTATATTAATATGACTCCAACAATAGGAAAAATCGACGTTTATATACAGATGGCTCCGGGATTGGAGAGGAAATTGGACTGGCTTTGGTTGTGTATTTCTGTGGCTGTGAAATAGAAAATAAAAAATATAAACTAGAGGAATTTAACTCTGTTTTTCAAGCTGAGTTAGCAGCCATTGTAAAAGCAATAA